GCAGGCGGGCGCGTTAACTCCCCGTTAACCCCTCCACCGCCGGAGAGACTACGCCGATCCTACTATGGCGAAGGCGTGGCGCGTGAATATTAATTACGCAGCGTGACGTTAGATCAAGAGGACGTTCTGATTGGCTGACACGCAGGTGGGCGCTGGGTTAGCTGGCGAATCCTACGGCGCGGAAGGCGTGGTTTATGAATATTAATTATATTGCGTAATAGGATGCTGAGAGGGTTACCAAGCAACGTCAGCTGGCTTAAAGGGTTAGTTCACCCAAAAATGAAATTTTTGTCATCATTAAGGCACCCTCATGTTTTTCCTAACCTTTATGAGTTTCGTTCTTCTGTTAAACACAAAAGAAGATATTTTGGAAGAATAGCCTATTGGGAACCAGATTTTTATTACCAACATTCTTCAAAATATCTTCTTTTCTGTTCAGCAGAACAGAAAAGAATCTGCTGAACAGAAAAGAAGATATTTAATAATATTATAGAGCATTATTTTGACAACATGAGGGTGAGAAAATGATTTTAGGTGAACTGTCCCTTTAAATGCTTAATATTCATAAGCAGAGCCTAGCTGTGTGATTATGCATCCAGCTCGTTTGATCACAGCGGGAGACAGTGACTGCAGTGAACGGAAACACAATAACCACATATGAATCACTGTTAGTTTAAAAATCATTTAATAGAAGATAATAAGGGGAGACCCAGGAGCGAGAAGGGTTAAAATATCATAAGCTCTAAACATTGCAATCATCAGTGCATCACTGTTTCCAAAGGAAGTCCAGACCTGCCCATCATCATGATGTGTTCATCTGTGTGAGCATGAGTCAATATTCAGATGGAAAGTACAGTATCAGTGAGTCAATAACCGCATTGTTTCTGCATGTTCATAATGGCAGAATGGAGGATGATGATCGACATACTTTGACCTACGACCTTTCTGATCACATCATCAGAAGAGATTTGAGTTCTAACATGATATTCTCACTGAAGATTACTTGAAAGAATAAAAAAGTGAGGAAAGCGTTTTTAGATGATGCAGTGTTAGATGTGTGTGCTCTTCTGATGATGATTTAATCAGACGCTCGTGTCTCTGACCCGACTGTGTGCGCTGGATCATGTGACGTACATGTGAACACACACGGCAATCTGCAGAATAACACGCCAACTCTCCTCGGTTCATTTATTATGTTGGTAATACTTTACAATAAGGTTCTACCTTAGTTAACAGGAATAAAAATTATTAAAATTAAAGGTTGTGTTTGTTAACAATAGGTTCATCAATTTTTACCAAAGATGAATAAACACTATAATAAATGTATTGCTCAATGTTAGTTCATGTTAGTAAATACATCATCTAATGTTATCTAATGAACCTTACTGTAAAGTGTTATCAACATCATATATTAACCATGAAGAGTTGCTGTGTGTCATTCTGTAAACCAGTGATCATATTCCTCTCACAGATTACAGTGTGTTTCTATACTGATAACTCAGAATATTAAGGTGGATATTATAAAGGTGGACATTTTTAAGGTGGACATCATAAAGGTGGACATTATTAAGGTTGGTGGACAGTATTAAGGTGGACATTTTTAAGGTGGACATCATAAAGGTGGACATTATTAAGGCTGGTGGACATTATTAAGGTTGGTGGACATTATTAAGGTGGACATTATTAAGGTGGACATTTTTAAGGTGGACATCATAAAGGTGGACATTATTAAGGTGGACATTTTTAAGGTGGACATCATAAAGGTGGACATTATTAAGGTTGGTGGACAGTATTAAGGTGGACATTATAAGGTGGACATTATTAAGGTGGACATTATTAAGGTTGGTGGACATTATTAAGGTTGGTGGACATTATTAAGGTGGACATTATTAAGGTGGACAGTATTAAGGTGGACATTTCATTTAGAAAAAGATCAAAATAAACAAATTTGGTAACAGTGTATTTTTTTCAACATATTATATGTAGTTACCACAAAACCAGCCACATGTTACACTGGCATATTTGTGAAAATCGCTAACAACATATTGTATGGGTCAAAATTATCGATTTTTCTATTATGTCTACAAGTAAAAATCATATTCCATGAAGATATTTTATACATTTCCTACCGTACATTTTTGTGAGTGAATGCAGCAAAATCACGAACATAAATGCACAAATTTAATTTAGATTTTCTCACTGTTTAGATTTTTTTGCACCCTCAGATTCCAGATCTTCTAAAAGTCTCAACCAAATATTGTCCTATCATAACCAACCATACATCAATGAAACCCTTATTTATTCAGCTTTCAAAAAATTGATGTAGTGACTGCTTTGTGGTCCAGGGTCACAACTGTGCTTGATACAACTAAACCACACCCGAATCATAACCTTAACCCTATTACTTATTATTACTCCCTTGAATGTATAAACGACACTATAACAAGGACACCTTAAAATAAAGTGTAACCAAAAATTAATAATTTGGAATGAATCCTGTTAGAATTAAACGATTCTCTGAGAATAAGATTGGTTTGTGAGTGAAGAGCATGTTTCACATCATTTATTCATGTGTCCTGAAACCAAATAATCCGAAGAGCAAATATTGATTGGGCTGATGCTCTTGACCTCGGACCAGCAAAGGTCAATCAATGCGTTTGAATCGAGAATAACTGAGTGAAAACACTGAAGCCACTCTCATATCAGTTTATCAGGCAATGCGTTAAAGCGCCACCTGGTGTTGGAAACATGCAAACCACGCGTTTCATATATTCTCATACAGTATATTATATATACATATTTGAAAACTGTATATTTTAAGAGTTGTAACTGCATCAAACTGCATTGAAACCATCACACACACACACACACACACTGAGAACACATGGAGAAGAAGCCTTTCACACACGTTCACTGCTGATTCTGGAGAATAACATGGATTTAAACATGTATAAAAACTGTATGTTGTAAAATGTGTTTTCGGCTGAAAGTAGACTACTCTAAAGTCTGAGAACACACTGATAATCTGACATTTCATAAAGCAAATGTTTTAAACAATGTTGTGATGTAAACTACAGTATATTAAAAATTATATAAATTATATTTTATATTTCTAAAAATAAATAGAATGATATATAAAATGTTTATATATAACAAACATAAAATATAGTTAGGGTTAGGGTTTTTCACTCAAAGCGCAATGATAATATCTTTTGTAATGGAAAAATGTACTAAATGTAAAACAGCTGTAATTTCACGAGTGATCTCAGAGTTTTGGAATATATAAAATTTTACAACAACTTTAAAATTATATGTAAATCCACAGTTTCCGAGTGGGTCTGTTTATGATTAAACAAACTACATGAGAAACTCCCAGCTTTATTTTAGAGGGCGTTACAACCAGTCATCATCATCATCATCATCCTCTGCTCTTCAGCTGTTGTTTTATTTTGATCTACACATCTCTCAGTGAGGTTATTTGTGACATGAAACCCTTAGTGTATCTTTGGTGTCTGACAGGACAGAAAAGAAAATATGTCACCGTACATTTATGTGAATCAGTTCAGTAACTCCAGGTCCTTTAGAGGGGAAAAAGACTCACAATTTCCAGTTTACAAACAACTCGGATGGAAAACTATGGCATGTTGAATGAGGAAAAGAAATGACCACATAAAATAAACACAATTCAAAAAGCAATTTTACACAATATCCTCGTCCTAAAAAATTCTACACAGCGGAGCAGAACTACATCCTCAGATACGGGATCTAACCACATCATCTGCCTCCTCCAGAACACAACGCTGTAGAAGAGGACAGTACTGACGTCAGAGAAGCGGATATGAACACTCCTGATGTTTCTTAGCAGATATTTTTGGCACACAAAAACATATCGAGAGGACACACAATCTACACTGGCGCTCCAAAGTTTGGGGTTGCTAAGATTTGTAATATTTTTGTCTCTTCTGCTCAACAAAGCTGCATTTACTTCTTAACCCTCTGGGGTTGTTCGTTTCAGAGTCACACCAAATGGACCCAAAGGGCGGGATTCATATTTAAAAAAAAAAAAAAAAAATCATGATTTTTTTTTGTAGGTTGCTCATTTTTTTTTTATAATATTTTTTCTTTTCTTTTTTGGTGTTTTGAGAAAATTTCAAAAAAGAAAAAAATATATAATTAGTATTAATGCAATAATTATGACAAAATTTCCCCCCATTAAACATAATAGAAAAATATATTTTTTTTAAAATATATTTTTAAAGCTGTATTTCATTTTAGAGTCAAGCCTAGGCCTCATAAAAGCAATTTTTGAAATGAGATGGATGCCATCTGGTGGTCAAACTGAGCCTTGTAAAAATGCAAAACATCTGAATTGTTTGGTGTGTTTGTGTATAAAAGTGTGTCTGGATGTGTCTGTTTTGCACTCTTGATGTTTTATAGATTCACCCCTTCACTGTTGTGTGCTTTTTTTCAAGATCGTGGCTGATTTGTAGATTGTACGCACAAAAAAACTCACTATTTTCACATTTTTGCCAATTTCCCATTCATTTTCCATGCGGGTCCATTTGGACCCGAACACTCCAAGTGTGACTATTTTATTACAACCACTTAGACTATTTACATCCTGTCCCCAATTTTTTTGGGTGTTAAATACCAAATACCAACAAAGTCACCAAATTTCGGACCATTCCGAGGAAGCTGTGATTTAAAAAAAAAAAAAGTATTTAAATTCTTCAGGGTCCATTTGGGCCGAACAACCCCAGAGGGTTAAAAAATACTGTAAAAATAGTGAAATATTGTTACGAGCCATTTAAAACAGCCATTTTCTATGAGTATTTATTTTAACATGTCATTTATTCCAGCATCATTGCTCCAGTCTTCTGTCATGATCCTTCAGAAATCACTCTAATATGATTATCATCAGTTTAAAACAGCATTTATTCGAAATAAAATAAATTAGAAAAATGCTTTTACGGTCACTTTCGATTTGCTAAATGAAAGTATTATTAAGTATTAACCCCAAACTTTCGAACAGAAGTGTGTTACAGTACATCATGTGACACCGTGTCCAAACCAAGTTCAACAAAATCACAGCCAATCAGGACACATGTGCTGTTTAATATGCAGTGATTGTGGACCAATGAGGCGCCTGGTAAGAACACAGTGTAGAAGAACAAAAAGAACAGGACAAATAAAATGTTGTAAATCTTGGTAAAACTGCTCTGTGATCCGTCCGAGTCTAAACACAATAGTTCCTAAACCTTGTAAAGTTGAAGTAAAATACTCCTCACGTCTGCTATTGGTCAAAAACAGATAGCCCCGCCCCCAATGCCACTCCATTGGTCGAGCCATTATCTCTATGTCCAGCTCATTCAGACAGACATCACAAGAGAATACAGTAGATTGCTATGGCTGAGGCTAACTGAACGGGTTTGGTTCACGAACGTCAAGACAGACGCTTCAAATTTAGTTCCAGCTTATATGAGAAAACATGTTTATTGCTGAGAGATAAAGATGTTGCAGTGCTGGTTGTCTGGTTGTTTTTTGCTATTATCATACAAACTAAAAAGTGCAAATACAGCCGAAATCATCCTGATTAAACTGCCGAAACGAAACCTCAGTACTCAATAATAAACGTCATGGCTGTTCTCCTTCAAACATTTCAACATTTATAATACAGAACCCTTGGTCAGTGATGCCTTGATAAAAATAAAAAAAAGTTATTGCACATTTCATATCATGAAGTCGGTAATGTCATCTGACACACTCATCCCCTCGATATCCGAAAGCCATCATGGATGTGGATCAGCTCTGAACATCGATGTTATTTTGGGTATCAAGCGACAATCTGAACGTCCGCAAACGAATAAAGCAGATGCAGATGGACTTGATGAATGAATCGATATTAAACAGGCATTACCAAACGCTCCTGGGAAAAGCCTTCGACATCCGGAATAACAGGCGAACGACGCACAACACGGACATAAAACTAGCATAGCACGAACAAATAAAAGAAGACGAGGAAACAGTCAATGAGCATAAATTAAAGTGTCTCCGCTTTCGTATGTGCTTCACGTTGAGTCTGTTCTTCAGGAGATCAGAAATGTCCCGTCTCCTCGTAAACGCAGCTGGAAAACCCCTGGGTTTTCACGACGCCCCGCTTTGCTCTGGGAAAAAATAATAGACAGAATTCCTGCCGGTGGAAATCCACTTTATGAATATATGGTGATGACCTCTCGACCCCCGCCGCGCACCAACAGGACCCGGTTGAGACCCTCCATCATAACCTCCATAAACTCCATGTCTGAGACGCATCGGTCAAGGACAAGTGATGCTTCTGGGAAGACGTTTGTGTGTGTTATTGATTTAAATCAAGCATTAATCTTCTCAAGGTCGTGCATTACCGTGATTTTACCACAGTAAACCGGTGACATGAAGATTAATGACTATAATCTTACTAGAGGATTATTGTTTTTTAGGGCTGGGCAACGATTAATCCCGATTAATCACATCCAAAATTAAAGTTTGTGTTTACATAATATATGTGTGTGTAGTGTGTATAATTATTTTGTATATATAAATACACACACATGCATGTATATATTTAAGAAATATTTGCATGTATATACTTTATATATATTTGTACTAGGGCTGTCAAATTAATCGCATCCGAAATAAAAGTTTGTGTTCACGTAATATATGTGGTTGCACTGTGTGTTATTATTTTGTATATACAGTATGTATATATAAATACACACACATGCATGTATATTTAAGAAAATATTTATATATAAAATATTATATTTATTTATATATATATATTTATATGTAAATTATATATAAATTTATATACAGTATATAGATGAAAATATTTCTTAAATATATACAAGCATGTGTGTGTATGTATATATATATAAAATAAAATGCACCCACATATATTATGTAAACACAAACTTTTATTTTGGATGCGATTAATCACGATTAATCGTTTGACAGCCCTAATTTATACATAATTAATATTACGTATAAGTATAAATATTTGATACATTAAGAAGAACGCATTTTTTTTAAATATACACATGCATGTGTGTGTGTATTTATATATACAAAATAATTATACACACTACACACACATATATTATGTAAACACAAACTTTTATTTTGGATGTGATTAATCGCGATTAATCGTTTGACAGCCCTATTGTTTTTATAAAACTGTAATGTTCAATAAATGATTGATAATAATAATCAATATGAGCTACAATAAAACAATAAAAATTGAAGAACCCTTTCTCCAGATACAGTAACAGTTCATTTGTTTTAGCCCATTATAATTTAAAGAACTATAATAGAACTATTTCTATAAACTGCATTAAAAATATCACTGCATTTAGTTGATTAAAACTTTAAATCATTTATACACAGTAAATATAACAAATAACTGAAAAAATAAAAACATGGAAATAATATTAATAAATGGAAATATCAAAAAAATCTAAATCGTTGTTGTTTTAGTATAATTGATATACTATAATATTTATAAATATTTGGAATAAGCTTTTCTTTTGTTAAATTTTTAGCTTTTGTCATTTTTATTCTTTTAAATGTATTTTTAATTCAGTTTTAGTACTTATTTCCAGTTAGTAAACTGTAAAAAAAATATTTTCAAGATTTGCTATCACAACATTTTTCTTTTGTCAAATCAACTTAAATAATTTATTTAGTTCAGATAACTTATTATTTTAAGTTTCTGATGATTAAATCAATCTCCTTTTTCCAGTTTAATCAACTTAAAATTAAGGCAACCAGGGTTTTTAAGTTAAACCAACAATATTTTTACAGTGTAATTTTAGAGCTTAAAAAATTAAAAAATTTTGTTTAGTTTTCCATTTAATTGAATTACATCATTATTATTTTACTCAGTGTTTGTTTTCTTTGTTCTGTTGAACACAAAAGAACATATTTAACTCGTGAGTAAAGTAAATGATGACAGAATATGTATTTTTGGGTGCACTACACCTTTAACAAAGATTGCATTTTTGATCTGATTCAGTAAATGTGAGTTTTGAGGTGTGGTTTGTGTGAGGATACAGTTTTCGTCGCCGCCCCGGTTCTTCGGTGGGCCCGGCATGTTGAGGAGCACCAGATGTGCCCCCTGAGACTTGTTGACCACCACTTCATTCAGTTTGACCGCTGTGTGCATGCAGCGCACGTTCGACTGGTTCCTGAGTCATGTGACGAGGGACACAAACACACACGTGCGACTCAGTCATATTAATACAGAACTCAAAAACTCATGCCAACATCCAAAAAATGCGAACACGTATTCATGTTCACTCTACATTTAGTTTTGCAAAGCACATTATATTCATAGACTACAGTGACATCAGGAGTCAAATGCAATCTTCTCTATTATCATAGAGCCATATTTGATCCTGATTGGTCAATGTTAACATATTTGTATATAATGACGCTAAACTGTATGACAGAGATCATAGTTTCAAACAGCTGTGCAATGTGTGTAAGCTTGGCATCATGATAAATACATATGCACTGTAATTCAAGCATTATTTATATGATATATTAGTGATATAATAAAGGCCGTTTAAGGTTAGTGTGCACAATATCTATATTTGACATGCACAGCATATGCACATGCCTTTAATAAAGCATGAATTATGAAATCACAAATACAGTTGAAAAACTTGTGCTCCTCAGCGCCACCTTGTGCCAGTATGAGCCGCTTAAAATACATTTTACTGTATATAAAAATTAGGGCTGTCAAATGATTAATCGCGATTAAACGCATCCAAAATAAAAGTTTGTGTTTACATAATATATGTGGGTGCACTGTGTATAATTATTTTGTATATATATATATATATATATATATAATTTTATATTATTTTGTATATATAAATATATATATTTATATATATATATAATTTTATATTAGTTTGTATATATATATATATATATATATATATATATATATATATATAAATATATAGAATTTTATATATATTATTTTATATTATTTTGTATATATATATATAAATAGATATATTTTTATATATATTATTTTATATTATTTTGTGTGTGTATATTGTGTGTATATATATATATATATGTATGTATTTATATTATTTTATATTATTTTGTATATATATAAATATATATATATTTATATATTATTTTATATTATTTTGATTGTGTGTGTATATATATATATATATACACAAAATATTATATATATTATATATATATATATATAATAATTATACACAGTGAGTGCACCCACATATATTATGTTATATAAAAGTTTATGTATACAAACTTTTATTTTGGATGCGATAATCGCGATTAATCGTTTGACAGCCCTAATAAAAATATAAATAGGGCAAAGAATAATAAAGATGCCACTCTATTACCTGCAGCAAATGCCACAATGAATATACAATAAATAAATATTTGTCCCTGTATATAAAAATATTAAAAATGATGCCACTCTATTAACTGTAGTAAATATACCACAATAAACCCTAAATAAATAAATAAATAAATAAATAAAAGCTTTCCCGTGTATAAAATACAATAATTATTCTTGCATTATTAATAAATATTAAATGTAAATAAGAGTATCTGAGGGCCAGCCGGTGAAGATGAAGCACAAGTTTTCTTGTTGAGATCCATCATGCTGCACACATGAGCTCCTGCACATCTCACGACAGAGGGAATGCTGGGATGTAAATGAAGCGCGCACACACACACACACACACACACACACATATATGCTGGAATAAAGCAGCGTTCTGCAGGGTTTCAGATGGGACAGCTCAAACATGGACACGGACACGGCTACAGAACAGAGAAATGTGACTTACAGACTCTCCCATTCGCTAGAAAGAGGAAAACGGGACAGAACAACAGAGACAGGCTTAGACGCTTCACACACACTTCAGCACGGACACACTCTTCACATTACATGTCTTCCTCTACTGTGTTCTTGTACTTTTGGAGATCATGATTCGAATCTCAAATCACAAAAAGGATGTTCTGCATTGACTTTAACCTTAAGGTAATATTTATACATAGTAATAAAAAAATATATATTTATATATTTTTTATCAAAAAAAAAAAAATAATAATAATAATAGGAAATAAAAAATAAAATAAAGATAATAAAAAATAGGAAAATTCATGACGAATAAAAAAAATAAATAAGTAATGATAAAGAAATAAATGTAATATTAAGAATGATGATACAAATATATAAGAGCACTTTATTAAAAATAGCATCTAAAGGTTATTAAAAACATCACAATGCAAAAAAAAAAATCTTAATGGGCATTAAATTATCATAAAAAATAAATGTTTGTGAATCATGATCTAGAGATGTGTGAGAGGAATATAAGTATCACTACTATATAAAAATAAAAAACACATGTCAATAATCTGTCTTCCACCCTGTGCACCTGTAACTGGCGTTGGTACATAATTTTCACTTATTAGAAGGATCTTTATAGGGAGAATGTAATTTTTTTATTACACATATGTAATATTTTTCAATTCATATTATTTTAATTTAATTTTGTATTATTATAATATCTTTTTATATTTTTAATTTTATTTCTATTTATTTATTTTTTGCTATTGGATTGAGTAGGGAGATCATGTAAGGGATAAATGGACAATATTTTACTGTCTACTGTTTATGATGTGTTATTTTGTATTGTCATTTAAAACCAATAAAAACAATTGGAGTAAATAATCTTCGTATTTTCCAGATACGAATATATGAAGAGACAGAGACACGGACACATGATGACACACTGTGATCATGAAGTCACACACACACACACACACACCATGCAGACTGTGTCCTTTAAATACCCAGAGGCTTTTGTTTGCTCATGCATCCCAGTCAATCGTTCATCTGAGTGTTTAAAGTCTCGAGCCGGTGTTTGACTCACGGTTTCATGTTGAAGAGGTCTCGCACGGCCATGGTTGCGTTCTGCTCTCGGTTGCGGTTGCGTTCGGTGAAGAACTTCTCTTTGGTCCAGGTCATGTGGACTCGCTCCGGCGCCGCGTCGGCCTTGTCGTTTAGCGCCGCGTGAGACGCTGTGTTCCTGTCGTGGATCAGCTGAGCCTGTGGCGTCATCACAATCACACGTTAAATATATGGATATTCACTAGATATTTTTTAAATCACATATAAAATAAAATCCCACAACACAAAAATGTGTTTTTTTTAGATGCATTAAATTGAACAAAACAAAAGTTTACAATAATAAACTATTATAAATTTCTCTGCCCATTATGAGATCTATATTTAAAAGAAAAGCATATCAGATTAATGTTACATACATGCAACTATATTAGTCTGAGATATGCAGACTGCTAACATGCGACATGAACCCTTTTTTATTCATTCTTTATATATTTATGAACAGTTTCCGCTAAATACAGAGAAACACGAGGGAATGAAAGGAAAGAGGGGTCATTGACGATCACAGATGCTCGTGCATGAAGTCACGGACACATGCATGATGGGAAGAGGTTTCTGAAGGGAGGAGCACACACGTTACAGCTACAGAGCCAATGCTAAAGCTAATGCTAAGCACACACGTCTTCTGGCTCTGCACTTGTATGTGTTTGATCCGGGACGGTGGTCTTGCGTTCTCTACCTCCTCCTGTTTCTCCTCATCTAGTTGGCTGATCTGGTTATTGAGGCCTGAGCCGTGAGCTCCGCTGTGGTTCTTCCTCCGAATAGAGCTACGCGATTCGTCCGTGATGCTCTGAATCTGACGCGCGTTTCCCCGAGAGCAGCAGAAATGAAAGAGGGACCACAAAGTCACAAAAGTGTAATCATGTGCCATCGCCACGACCCTCAGTCCTGCTACATTATTCACCACAGCCATGCAGACGCTTTCTGGAATCTCGTGAACAAATGCCAACGCAAAATGACAAACAAGAAACCATAGCGTGCCTATTTTTGGGGCAATTAAGAGTTTTTGCACTATTTTCATGATAATTAAGCACAACAGTTGTTATTACTGTCATGGAAAAAAAGAATATCATGATTTATATACTTACAAATGTGCTTAATTTAATATATATATATATATATATATATATATATATATATATACACACATAACACACAGTTTCCTTCATACTATAATATGAAAAAAAAAAAAAAAAAATATATATATATATGGATTTTTTTTTTCATATTCCAGTTGTCTACTGACATTGGTTTACAAGATATAGCATGAAAATAATGTGACAATTTAAAAAACAAATGTCTTTCGTTAAACAATATATAATATATTCTGTTTTCTTTTGATTTTAGAGTGAAATATGTACATATTTTGACATTTCTTGATAGTTTAGGCGAGATTCACTGATGCAGTATTAATGAATATACTGAAGCTCACCTCTCGCTCGCGCTCCGTCCTCGAGAGCTGCATCTGCTTCAGCATCTGAGAGCGTTGCTCCATCACCAGGGTCTTCTCGTAGGTGAACGCGGAGATATCACTGTCATGCTGGAGGAACACACACATTTACAGCAGTGAACACACATGAGATTCCTCAACAGGAAGATATTAGTCTTAAAGGCGTCCCGAATCCCTCTTATTTATTTCACAGTACAGGATTATAGAAGCATTATTTTTAACATGAAATGTTGCGCAATGCACCTTTAACACATGATCAACCACACACAAAACTCAAAACGCTTCTGTAAAAATGAAAGCTTTAAATTTTGACAGAAGTATTTCTATGGAATAATAAAATATTAATATGTTGATAATAAATATATGTAAAAAAAAAAATAAAGGTACATTTTATATTAGAACAGGTAAATAATATTTTAGCATTTTAAAATAGTACTAAGATAATACAAAATTAGGCAGCAATCATACATAATTATAATACTTACATTAAAAAAATATAACTGAATAGTAATAATAACAACAACATTAAAAGATGATATTTAAAAAAAAAAAGATTTTATTTTTTTTATCAATATTATGTAGCAGTAATATAATATAACAAAAATTAAAAAACTATTTTAATATAAAATAAATATAAATAACTTAATAAAATAATAATAATAATAATAATAAAGATAATTTCATATTATGCAGCAATAATAAATAATTGTAATAATAACACAAACTAAAATATTGTATTCATATATTAAATAAATGATAACCACTTATCAATAATAATAATAAGATAGTTCTATATAATATGTAGCAATAATGAATATTTGGAATAGTTATAATAAACTACAACACAAAAATTAAAACATTCTATTCATATATTCAATTAATTAATTAAATATAATATAATATAATATAAAAACAGCAGCATAATATAATATAATATAATATAATATAATATAATATAAAAACAGCAGCATGATATAATATAATATAATATAAAAACAGCAGCATAATATAATATAATATAATATAATATAAAAACAACAGAATAATATAATATAAAAACAGCAGCATAATATAATATAATATAAAATAATATAATATAATATAATATAATATAATATAATATAATATAATATAATATAATATAATACAATATAATATAATATAATATAATATAATATAATATAATATAATATAATATAATATAATATAATATAATATAATATAATATAAAAACAGCAGCATCAGGAAGGGCTCACCATCTCCACCACCTCCACCTCGGCGTTCAGACGGAGATGATAGAGGAACATCTGCAGGTCTTTCTTCATCTGGATGCTGTTATCATCTAACTGAGCCACGGTGAAGATGCGCATCTTACACTTCCTCCACACCTGACACACAGACACACAAGAGCATGATCTTTTAGAGCAGTGTCCCTGACAGGCTGAAGATCAGATTCACAGCTCACTCAGGGCCCAACCTTGTGCTGTCGCAGGAGGAAGGGCAGGAGCATCAGCATACCCCCGTCGTGAACGATCCACCACACGTCGATGGTTCCTTCACTGAGACGCTCCTGATGAGGGAAACTGTCCACGTTTTTGGCCACCAGAAGAGCCAGATGGGCGGCAGTCGTCTCTCGGACCGTCTCTGAGGAGAGAAACGCCACAGGCTCTTAACTAAAGGGATACTTCACCTCTGGAAAGATGAGTGTGTATTTAAAATGGGTCATTATGTAGAAGAAATGTGAAATTATTTTTGAATTTGGAGCTTTCTAGACTGAGAAAAGCCAGAAAATGTATTTTTGGTTTATGTGGATGAAAGACAACAACTCCCACAATGCACTTGCCTAGGAGGCCACGCCTACCGGTGACAGAGCACAGTAGTTAAACACCACATCTAGGCTACTAGTGAGTCTCTGCGATGAGTGAATCTGCCCAGAGAAATGAATGAATTGACTCAGAAAAATATTTGTTCATTTTGATGAACGAGTTCGAACAGGAGAGTCACGAACGAACGAGAGTGCATGATGTTGGAGGAAATTCTACAAGTCTAGTTATATGTCGGTTTTAAGTGAGATCTTCCTCAGTTCAACAGTGTGTGTGTGTGTGTGTGTGTGTGTCCAGTCTCAGACCTATGAAGTTCTTCCAGGTCTGCGGGTCGTTGGACTGTCTCCAATTCGTGGGCCAGGCCATCAGAACAGAGTTGTGTTTCATTCCTCCGAGGCCGGCGGACTGGATCAGGTGAGAGATGCCGTCGCGCTGGTTCGACGACACCACCACATGACAGAAGCCCTTCGTCTTCTCTGCGGACATGGCTGATTTGATGTTCTACAGTTGTAAATAAATGAAGAAAATAATCACATCTGATATCATTCATAAACAAGAAGAAAGAAAGATTCTGGGTTGCTCAGTTGTGTCTGTGGCCACTAGGTGTCAGTGTGAGCTCAATCATCCAGTCCTGTTTGCTCAGTTTATTTCAGGACAAACGGTCTGGATATTTTGTAATTGACTGTTCGTACGGTGTATGTTTCAGATCCGTTTACATCAGAGTGAATCTTAAATTAAAGGATGATTTTAAAAACTAAATACTTTCACAAAAACAATCAGTGATTCTAGTTTTAAAGTAGCTTTACACTCTAACAAAAAGATAAAAAAAAATATTAATATAATAAATAAATTCATAATAATAATAATAAGACAATTCAAAGTAATAATGCAGCATAATAATTATAATGTAGTAGTTTTTTTTTAAACATTTTCATATATTAAATTAATTAATCTACTACTAGTAACATAATATAGCCTACTATAATTGTGATTTTGTATTATTATTGTTGTTTTTTAGTTAGTTATATACCCAATAACTAAAAGCAACTTAAATAACACTTTATATTTGTATTATCTAAAGTTAACATAGATAAATATATACAGTAACAAATGAATTGGTCATTGTAAGTTAATGTTAATGTACTTACTAATGTTAACTAAATGGGAACTTATTGTAAAATGTTGCTAATCAGTTTGTAATAAATGTATACAATAATTCAAATCATATTTTCATTTTCAAGACAATTCAATGTAATAATGCAGCAATAATACATATTTATAATAATTATAATATAGTTTATTTTTTAAAATATTCATATATTAAATTAATGAATCTACTACTAATAACATAATATAATTGTGATTTTGTATTATTATTGTGTTTTTTATTTAGTTATATACCCAATAACTAAAAGCAACTTAAAAAACATTTTATATTTTGATTGTATCTAAAGTTAACAAAGATAAATAAATACTGTAACTCATAGTAAGTTAATGTTAATGTACTTGCAAATTTTAATGCGAACTTATTGTAAAATGTTGCTAATCAGTTTATAATAAATATATACAATTATTCAAATCATAAAAATCATATTTTCATTTTCATATTTCAAAATCATATTTGATTTTACATATCATACTGTAACTAGTAACTATCCAAGTATCATGCTTATCTAACTTTTCTCCAAAAAATGTTAATTTTGAGTAGTAAAAAGGCCTTTATTTGAAGAATCACTCATGTTTGTCAGTGTTTCATGTTTCTCTCACACACACACACACCTGTTCTGCTTGTTTGGCCTCAGTGTCTTTGGTGAGGTAGGTTCCCTCCAGCACCGAGGCGACGATGGTCAGGCCTTTGCCAGCCTTCAGCTGTGTGGTGAAGGACAGCAGACGAGGGTGTTTCACCGACAGCTCAGTGTCCAGATTGAGGAGAACCAGCAGCTGAGGTCTGGAGAACATCAGGAGCATTCAGGTTCTGCTTATACAATTACCTATTCATGCCTACAACTTTTCACAGTACAATGTATATTAAATGTGCCATGCATTATACTCTTCAAATTGTAACACGTATAAGCTATTAGTGCATAACCTTTAACCTTACAATTATTAAGAACAACTGAGTAAAAGCTGGACTGAATATATTACAATGCACTAAAACAGAAAGGATTCTCCATTGTCAAATCAAACTGTGGAGGTTTTTCTGGCTCGGGATTAAAGGATTAAGCAGGACTGTCGGAGGTGTGATGCTTTCAGGTGAATGATGTCAATCTGAGGCTACAAGTCAAGAGCTCAGCATATCTGCCATTATCATCAATTTACTCTTTACCGAACCCCACAAAAGGTGTATAAATAAAATCCCCTGAAATTAATTCCCACTGGGATTATTCCTGCGCAGCTGGGAAGTCGTGAGCAGCATTATTGTAGGATCATCTTTATTATAGTTAATAGTCTGAATTTTTATTTTAGTAGTTGTGTTGGTATGATTTTGTCATTTTTGTTAGATTATGTCATAGTTTATACTATGTTTTTAATACATTACTTTATTTCAGTTAACTTTTATTTAGTTTGAATATACAACAATGTGATTGTTTTATGGTTTTAGATTGAGTTAACTATAATAACCCTGGCCATGACCCTCATCACAGGAACTAAAGAGGCTCAGACTCGGGACACAGGGAAGACCTGTACCAGAGATTGTCTACAGGCTCACAGATGTCGCAGAACAAACACATATCAGTTCCTCCTGATGTAGATTAGACCGCTGCCGCGAGATATGAACAGGTCTGACCTGGTTCCTGAAAGACGACCAAGTTTCATTGTGTGCAGGTTATTTAATCCATGAAAGATTACCGAGAGCTCTGGGAAAAATCCAACACTGATTGTCTCTGGATTATGACAAGGAAGTGCGAGTGAAGGAGCGAAAGAAAGAAGCCGGCACTGAAATGTGTTGATATTCTGCTATAGTCTTGCTTTTAATTCACTGAATTTTTAAAACATGATAACCTTCAACACATTTTAAGTGATACATAAAAAAATAAAAATAATTATTGACCTCACTGTAAAAATATTAAATAAATAAACAAATAAAAATTGTGATGAACACGATATACACTTCTGTTCAAAGGGTTAGGATAAAATGCTTTAAATCGATTTTTTTTATGTTTTTAAAAATACTTTTATTCTCACCAATGTCGCATTTTTTTAATTCAAAATACAGTAAAAACAGTAAAATTGTGAAATATTTTTAACAATTTAAATCAGCTGTTTTCTATGTGAATATATAGTAAAATGTAATTTATTCCTGTGATCCTTTTATTCTCACCAATGTCGCATTTATTTATACTTTTATTCTCACCAATGTCGCATTTATTTATACTTTTATTCTCACCAATGTCGCATTTATTTATACTTTTATTCTCACCAATGTCGCATTTATTTAATTAAAAATACAGTAAAAACAGTAAAATCGTGAAATATTTTTACAATTTAAATCAGCTGTTTTCTATGTGAGTATATAGTAAAATGTAATTTATTCCTGTGATGCTTTTATTCTCACCAATGTCGCATTTATTTATACTTTTATTCTCACCAATGTCGCATTTATTTATACTTTTATTCTCACCAATGTCGCATTTATTTAATTAAAAATACAGTAAAAACAGTAAAATCGTGAAATATTTTTAACAATTTAAATCAGCTGTTTTCTATGTGAGTATATAGTAAAATGTAATTTATTCCTGTGATCCTTTTTTTCTCACCAATGTCACATTTATTTATACTTTTATTCTCACCAATGTCGCATTTATTTATATTTTTATTCTCACCAATGTCGCATTTATTTAATTAAAAATACAGTAAAAACAGTAAAATCGTGAAATATTTTTAACAATTTAAATCAGCTGTTTTCTATGTGAGTATATAGTAAAATGTAATTTATTCCTGTGGTCCTTTTATTCTCACCAATGTCGCATTTATTTATACTTTTATTCTCACCAATGTCGCATTTATTTAATTAAAAATACAGTAAAAACAGTAAAATTGTGAAATATTTTTACAATTTAAATCAGCTGTTTTCTATGTGAGTATATGGTAAAATGTAATTTATTCCTGTGATCCTTTTATTCTCACCAATGTCGCATTTATTTATACTTTTATTCTCACCAATGTCGCATTTATTTATACTTTTATTCTCACCAATGTCGCATTTATTTATACTTTTATTCTCACCAATGTCGCATTGATTTAATTAAAAATACAGTAAAAACAGTAAAATTGTAAAATATATTTAAACAATGTAAATCAGCTGTTTTCTATGTGAGTATATGGTAAAATTTAATTTATTCCTGTGATCAAAGCTGAATTTACTCCAGTCTTCAGAGTCACATGACCCTTCAGAAATCACTCCAATATGATGATCTGATGCTCAAGAAACATTTATGATTATTATCAGTGTTGAAAACAGTTCTGCTGCTTGTTTTTCGTTTTGTTTCTCGGGATTCTTTGATGAATAAAAAGTTAAAAACAACAGAAATGATTTGAAATAGAATCTTTTGAAACTTTATACATGCCTTTACTGTCACTTTTGAGCAAATGAATGCATCCTTGCTGAATAAAATATTAAAGTTCTTTAAAAAATCCCAAACTTCTGAACAGAAATATGGATTTATTGTTTTATGTAGAGGTGCTTGTGTGTTCAGATCCTGACCTCCAGTTTTTGGTGTGTGGCGGCGCCTCCTCTAACCGGATGAGAGCGAAGCGCGCCGCGTTGAGGGAAACACCCCGGATCCCGTCGCCCCACTCCTTCTCCGCCCTGAACACACACATGTGAAATCACCGTGAGCGAGTATTAACTTACAATGACACTGCAGACCATCACTCAGGCAGATTCATCAGTAATCAGCTTAGCGTCTGACTGACTCACGGCGTGGGCTGTAATGCGCTTCTGCAGCTCTTACCCGCGGTATTCAATGTATTTGTAGATGCATCCAGCGATGAGCATGGCCACCAGAGCGTAGTACCAGGAGGATATGAACATCAGAGCCAGACACAAACTCATCCCGAGAAACGACAGAGTCCTGATGAATGACAACAGCAGCGCCAGCTCAGTTAAAACACACTAAACATTTGAATAAAGCCATGATAAGATCAAGCGGAGGGCAAATGGAGACATTAATGTGCCACTAACTTCAGCAAATACATATGCCAAAATAGCAATATTTTTAAATATGCATTTTGACATCAACAGTTAAAAGCAATGCTTCTGACCACAACAATCTTCGGAGTATCATAAATGTCAGCTATTGTCTCATTTCGGTCCATTTTAAGTTGAAATGGAAATGAAATGACATGAGAATCAAGTATAAAATAGCTAAATCTGAGCAATGAATGTGTTCCTCAGTGTTATATTATACAGTAGTCAACATTTGAAGTGGATCATAAAAATGTTTTCAAAGTTGTCCAAAGACTAGAACTGGTTTTGTTCAAAATTCATGTATAACTTTGATGAAAGGTTTTATCCACTTCAAATGTTGACTACTGTATATAATCCTTCAGTAAATCATTATACTTCAGTTCAGTGCATTTCCACCAAAGACATACAAGTTAAAATGAGTTTTGACAGCATTTTGATTTAAGAGGAACTTAGTGTGTGTCTTGACATTATCCATCAGGAATTTATTTAACTGGAAAAAAAAGTCAAATGAAACTATATATAGTGTAATATATATATATATATAGTTTTAAATAAATGTTTTTTTTTTCAGATTAAAGATTTCCACAATAATATTGCTTGCACGACTCTTTTCAACTGATAATATAATCATAAATGTTTCTTGAGCATCAAATCATCATATTAGAGTGATTTCTGAAGGATCATATGACTTTGATCACAGGAATAAATTACATTTTACTATAGACCATTTCACAAGATGTAAACAACACTGGTCCAGACGCACTTCCTGTTTCAGTTTGTAACTGTTTTCTTTATTTCACATGTAAAGAAAACATCTTAAAGATGTTTGTTTAACTTTTTGATTCAGTTTTAAATGTTCTGTTGGTTGTATTTTATCCCAGCTTTTATGTAGTGTTAAAAAACTGAAACAGGAAGTGCTTCTGGACCAGTGTTGTTTACATCTTGTGAAATGGTCTATATATTTACATAGAAAACAGATTATTTACATTGCAATATTTCACATTTTTTGTAGTTCCGATCAAATAAATGCAGCCTTGACGAGTAGAAGAGATTTTTTTTTTCAAAAATATAAATACATCGTCCTGAAGCCATTAGACAGATGACTGTAGTGTCTCACCAGTGGTAGAATTTGAAGCGCGGTCTCCAGTTGGGCGTCCTCAGGAGCGTCTGAAGTGCACAGGCCAGATTTACGAACAGATAACACATGAGAAAGAACCTGACGAGAGAAACACAGTCAAACACACCGTCCGTCACCACACGTCACAACACGTCACACACGAGACTTACATTGAGAGGATGGGCGCCACAGCGTCGAGGGAAGCGATGAGAATCCCACTTTCACAGATCAGAGCCGTCAGGAGAAGAGCCCACGTCGGCTCTCCGTTGGCCTTGCCGTGACCGAACACCTGAGATCACATGACAGTCAGTAATGAGTCGTAAGTATTGTTGTTGATACTTTATTGATCCTTTATGGGAAATTACATCACGGCAGCTTCAACACAGAACAAGCACATCACCACACATTTCCGACCCTCGGACCAATCAACAGCGTTATGGCCGGTTCAGATTACACCATTTTAGCACAATCCATTTGACGTAGGGTGTCGTGGGCATTCGTAAACGACAACAGGCGTCGGGATGCAAGATTCGATTGTCTCATCTTATATAGTGTGTCATAGTGGGCGACAACCGACGTTGTTTATCATGATGCTTCACGACAATACGATAAAAAGACTAGCGTGTTTAAAAAAAATCGGTCCTCAAAAAATTGGTGATGATGGTAATGACAATGGCAATAAATAATAAATTGTTATTTTGTTTATGCATACACACACATACCCACAAACACACCCACTCACATACACACTTAGATCAAACACTTAAATCACTCTATGTCACTTCTGGAATTACAAGATTGCTTACTACTGCACTATGTTGGTTTGTATGCATGTTTGACTGTTTAATAAAAAATAAATAAATAAATCGGTCCTTCGTAACGGGGGGCTCTGACTCCAAATGACAAGCAGACTGTACCTCGAGGAAGGGCACGATGCCGTCTCGAGCGATGGCCTGCAGCAGACGGGGGGCGCCGGTGAGACTCTGAAGCCCCGCCCCACAGCAGGAGAAGAACGAGCCAATCACGATCACCCAGGGAGAGGGCCAGGACAACGTGCCAATCACCAGGTTCCCTTTCACAGAGTCTCCAAACCTAATCAACAGGATTGATTTCTTATTATATTTACATTGTTATACAATATTAAACATTTTGTGCATGTTTAGTTATGCATATTGGGAATTTTTTTTTAAACAATTTTATTCATGAAAAAATGTCACACGAGCTTAAACAGCATTTTTTTTTTTAAATTATATATATATATATATAAAGTAAAAAGTAAAAAATGCTTTTTTTTTACTTTCATGTTCTTTTACTATGAATCTTGGGAGGAAACATAATTGCTGCCTATCTTTAAAACAGTCTTTGCGTGTCTAAGATGCCCTAAAGTACTGTCTAGATAGGTAGCACACTTGGTTTACACCAAGACGACTCTTGGGATATTTGACATAAAGGGTTTTTTGACTGTAGTGCCTAAACGGCTCATAAACAGCCTTTGCACACAAACCGAGCGTTATTTAAAGGAGATTTCCTGTATGTTTATTCAGGAAAATGAGGAATATAAAGCGCTCACTTGTCTCGGAGCACCACACCGTCGATGCTGGCGCCGAACAACACGACGCAGGACAGATCTGAGTTACACTGTTAAGAAAATGATCCTCCCAGAGGAAGAGAGAGACAAACAGCAGCTCTCCTTACACTCTCTCTCTCTCAGACACAATGATTCAGGGATTTAGTTCTGCTGGATGCAATGGGTTTACAGGGACTTTGGGAAGGAAAGGGAAGGTTTCTGCGAGTGAGGATACAGATGATGGTGGTGGTTGCAATGGCGAGGATGGTCCCGATGGGAATGGACCTCTGAGCGTCTCTCAGATCCCCGGATCTGTTGGATCCAGCCATGATTCCTGCAGAACAGACGTGTGCGTTCTTATCAAATCATGCCAAAATGTCATTCTTATACCAGTACTTTAACATTTTTATTTTATAACTTTACATGTCTCTGATTCAAAATTCAATAGCAAAAACTTTTAGAGTCAACAAAATCGGATGGCAACAAAAGCCAAACCTAAAACTACTAAAAATAATTGTAATAAAAATAATAATAAAAACATTTTTTTTTTAAATAAATAGAGTGGAAACTAACTAAAATAAAATAAAATGTAAGTCGAAATGGAAAAAAAACTTTAAAAAAAAACTAATAAAAATAATAAAATCACATACCAAATGACTAAAACTAATATTTAAAAAAAAAAATATATATATATATATATATAAAAAGCTGATTCAAAAATATTACCTAAAATACTATAATAGTATAAATTAGAGTTGGTAATTTCAGTGAATTTCCAAGTTATTCGGTGAACTTTTCATACATTACGATTTTATTTGTGAAAAAATCTATAAATATGTTTTGTTATATATACAGTACACATATAAACAAAATGTAGCTCTATTATTTTTAAGTCGATTTTTTCTGTTTGTTGTATTAAACATTTTTAATTGAATTGAAATTATTTTTGGTCAAATGTTCCTCAGACAACAATACATAAATCAACATTTAAAGGCACCTCAGAGCAGATAAATATTGACATATGTATGCATGATATCACCCAGCTCGAACGCTCAAGGCAAACATGAGGGTCTTTTCCAAACCATCCATCCCTGTTATTGCAGGAAGGTCATGTCCTGATGAAACGCTATCACTGTGTTTACAGAGAGTTCACATGCGCTCCTGCTGAGTCTGACAGCACTAGATAGGCCAGATCGCTGTTCACGCTCATAACCAGATCAAACTAGATTAGTTATAAGGTTCGAAGCTTCGTAATGAACCTGAAAGTGCTGTGAAGAGCATGATGTGCCGTACCCGTGACCGAGGGGAAGTAGATTCCCACCAGCAGTGTGAAGAAGGTGGTGATGTCATTGAGCACATACGGCATGTCCTTGTCCTGAGACGAATCGATCGCCGGCACCGACGGGAGGTCCTTCTCCACCATCATGCCAGCGGGACCGTAGGTTCCCCACATGTTCTCTGTGCAAAGAACGTCAAGATATTGAGCGACTCGTTCATTTTAAGATAAGCTGATATTCTTGCCCGTTTGGCTCGGTAATATCTGCATTTGAGAAACCACTAAAATTGATAAGTTTTATCAAGTTCATGTCAGTCTGACTCTGAGAACACTGATGGAAATTCTCCATTAACAAATTACACTGCTTGAAATTCCTTTTCATTAACATTAGTTCACTACATTAGTTATCATGCAATTAAAACACAAATCTAGTAGGTGTATATTTCAACATTTACTAAAATCAAAAGCTGTATTAAAATGATTTAAATGGACCTGCTGACATGAACTAACAACGAACAGTAGTGTTTTCATTAACTAACATTATCATAGATTAATAAATACTTCAACAAATGTAATGTTCATTGTCAGTAAATGCATTAACTATCTTTATCTAATAGAGCTATTGTTGTGTTCACACAACATCCAAAATGGCATACTTTCCTACTATATAGAAGGTGAAAAACAGTATGGGTTTAAAATTATCAAGTCAAAATGGTCCGTCAATACATATAAATTAGTATGTCTGAATTGACAGTCCTCATTAAAGAGTAGGCAACGAGTACTTGGATGTATGGAAGCTTGTTTCTGCCACAGAATGAAAAATAAAAAAGGTAATTGCGACTTTTTATCTCACAATTCTGACTTTATTTCTCAGAATTGCAAGATATAAAGTTAGAATTGCGAGATATAAAGTCAGAAATGCATGATATAAAGTCGAAATTGCGTGTTGTAAAGTCAGAATTGTGAGATATAAACTATTCTGAGGGGGAAATTATTTTTTTTTTCCTTAGAATTAGCCTGATAACTCGAAATTGCGAGTATATATCTTACAATTCTGAGAAAAGATGTCAGAATCGCAATTATGTGTTATAAAGTGAGAATTGTGAGATGTAAACTCATAATTGTGATAAAAAACGTCAGAATTGTGAGATAAAAAGTATTTTTTTCTCGCAATTGCGACTTTATTTCTCATAATTGCAACTTTATATCTTGCAATTGTGAGATAAAAAGTATCAATTCGGTCTTTTTTCTCGTAATTGCAACTTTATTTCTCATAATTGCGACTTTATATCTTGCAATTGTGAGATAAAAAGTCAAAATTATTTTTTCATTTTTTTAATTTAGTGATGGAAACTTCCACTATTGGATGACTACTACATCCGGTGAGATACGATGGACACTTTACTATCCCATGAGGCCACGGGAGAGGATCTGTGAATGACAGTGAAGTGAAGATAGATCATGACAACATGGCGGATGATTACATTCATACTATATAGAATGTACATTTGTAGCAGCCATGAAGTAATGACTTCATATTTAAAATAAGTACCTACTCAAGAGAGTATGTGATTTCGAACACAGCCCAAGGCATGAAATGTGTAATATAATGTTCCAAAAGTGACCTTTTTCTTTGTCCACTACATTAAAACAACATTAAGCCTATAAAACACAAGCACTGTGCTACTTTGATCAAATTATGAGGACAAATCGACTCACAGAACAAGCCGTGAAACATCAGCACTGACCTACTTACACAAAACTCCAGGCCAGACACGGTAATGCTGCGTGAAAACAATTATTTCTGCTCACTTTAAAGTCAGGCCTGGTCTATTAAATCCATCAGAATCCAGTCTGGAGCCGCAGACCACTCAAAGGGCCACAGCGGGTTCATGATCAATAACCCTGATGAGCTTGAGCTCAATACACCAGAAGATGGAAATGATTAGAGGAGATATTAAACACACAGATTTACTACTCTTGATCTTTACAGTAGAGACCTATAGGGTCAGAGGTCAATGTAATGCTCCAACGCAGGAGTTTTCAATCTGTAAAAACTGTATAATAATAAAAAAGATGTAAATAAAAGATTACTGGTGTATGTTTAACAGGAAAATACTATTTAAAAATATATAATATTGGGGGTGCTTAGCATCATGCCACACACACGTCTGTATAAGATTAATAGTCATTTAGACACTTTTCTACAGCCACTAACACTAAAAGCTGAGGTTAAAATGAACACAAAACTACCATAATGTGTCTTCAAGATTGCAACGAGGAATAACTGATGAATCTTGCACGACAACTTGTTCAAGAATGTATAGAAGGACCATTTTGACTTGATTTACTGAAAGTGATGGTCAATGTTCTCTGCAATAGTGAAGCCGAAGGTGTGCCGGCACCTGAAATGGCTCCGCTGGTGAGGCCGGGGATGCCCTGGATCACGGTGACGTTATTGAGGCTGAAGTATTCGTTGCAGCTGGCGTTGAGCTCCGGCCCGTCACAGAAGAGCGCCCAGAGCCTCGTGGTCACGGTCTCGTTGTCTATTATTTCGGTCTTCATGCACTTGTCAAAGCCGTGGTTCTGCAGGGTGCGGTTGCCCAACAGACAGACCCTGGAGAGGACAGAAGAGCGTTTAGAAAGAGTTCAAAAGACTAAATCAGAGTTTATTGTGGTGATTGTGAAACAAACACGGCTGCGGATGTTTGTGGTTCAACTAAAGGCACTGAGAGCTGCCCAATGCTGCTAACTTCTATAAAGAGGCTCTGTTTACTTCAAACAGGCAATGCTGTAAAACACACAGTGCAATGAGCAATAAAGGGCAACCGTTGGGTTTCGGAAGTCACAATTCTCCAGAGAGACTTGACCTTTTTCTAAAAATCAAAGTGAACTGAAATAAAAGTGTTAACATACTGTAAATAAAATAGAATAATGTAACTTGAATGTAAATTTAGTCAAAGCTTATTAGAATCATGTCTTGTATATTTAAAAATAATTTACGCACGATAGTCGCACGAAAATATAACTGGATATTATGGAAATAAACTATTCTGAAATTTCCATTAAAAAAAAACACATGCAAAGCATGCTGGGAACTAGAGATCCATGTTCAGATGGTTATTCATGTAGTCACAAACACAAAAATCAAAACCAGTTAACCTTCCCTTTACAAATGTACAGAAAGTTCAAGAATTGAGTTGCTTTAACTCATTTTAATTAAGTAAACCGAAAAAGTACACTGTAAAAACATTTTTTCTTTTGTCAAATCAACTTAAATAATTTATTTAGTTCAGATAACTTATTATTTTAAGTTTCTGATGATTAACTCAATCTCCTTCATTGTATTTACTCACTTTTTCCAGTTCAATCAACTTAAAATTTTAAGGCAACCAGGTTACTTAATTTTTTAAGTTAAACCAACAATATTTTTTACAGTGTAGGTTTATAAAAGTAGGGTTTATAATGAGCTGGTTGGTTTGGGTTAAGGCTCCTGAATACGTGATCCCTTCATGAACTTTAACAGGTGACTTACGGAAAAATGGGCGGTTCAAAGATGGTTTTGAAGACGCCAGCGTAGATGGACAGGATGGACAGCACCACACAGGCCAGGAACACCAGCGCCAGCTTGTTGACGTACTTCACACCGACGAACACCACCACAGCCATGAGTGTTAGACAACACGTGCCGTACACACGCATGTTATTCAGCATGGCCTCGGCCTCCAGCGCCTTCTCCTCTGCCTTAAAGATGGCGGCGCTGGGCACGATGTAGGTCTGTGGCACAACACACAATGAAGATGTTCATTTTATTTAATGGGGGGAAACGGGAATGGATTTGACAAATGTCACCAGTCATATGCTATCTGGGAGCAAGCGTTACAGCAGGGATCTCAGTCTTATAGATGAACTCCCATCCTAAAACTTTAAAGACAGGTTTATATATTCTCATTTTCTAAGGACATTTTGCTAATGTTCCCATTTAAAACATTATGTTTTTTAAATGTTTTTAAAAATGTTTCTTGGCTATGTGGACATCCATTTTATCCTTTCGCAAACATTATGGTAACGTACCTGTTCTAAAACAACATTTAAAAACTGTTCAGAAATTCAGTAAAACATGCCATGAATGATTTCTAATGTTTTGAGACCAGATCACTTTAAACAAACAGTCTATTAATGTTACTGGAAGAACATTTGTTCATAACTTCTTAAATGGTTATTCATACTGTGAAAAAATTAAAATATATTCCTAAAATGTAATATTCGCTAAAATATTTTGTTTCTATTGCTGTGTTAAATTACAATTTTTTTTTTTTTTTTTTTTACAAAAGTAGAATGTTTCATAATGTACTATAAGAAGTATTTATAATTTATTTGAGTCCAATTTTATTTTTTACTTAATTTAAGCATATTATTCTTTTATTTTATTCTTCAAGGTTTATTTATAAAGCACATTTACAAGCAGTCACTACTGCCCCAAAGTGCTGTACAGATACAAGAAATAGCAAAATAAAACAGAATAATTATTCGAAAAAACATTTAGAAACGATTATTCCAAAAATATTTAAAGCAGACAACAATTAATAAGATGTCACAGCTCAGCTGATATTAAACGCCAATGAAAAAGGTGAGTCTTAAACAATGTCCTGCATCTGAGCGTTATGCAATACGGCCGAATTGTTTAACAATGGTTATTTTCTATATTATATTTAACTTTTTATATATTACTTTAACCTTATTTTTTGTAAAATAAACACTTTTATACTCACAATCTAGTCTAACGACTAAAAATGACCAAATGCAATGTTGCCTGATTTTTATACAAGCAGTAAAATCATTGCATAAGTCATAAACATTAAATATATCACATGCATAATTCCTTAATTTAAAGTCTAAAGTTATTCTTAGGTGATCCTCACGTCTCAGTGGCTGATTACCGGTTTCTAAAAACTCCTCTCTTTGGATTGTCTGGACCTAATCTGACTGAAGACTTTAACTGGACACACAACACTCACCAGGAAGATCTCGATGGTCCCGAGGATGTACATGGCCCCGGCGAACGTGGTGCCCAGATAGAAACACAGTCCCACCGCACCCCCAAACTCAGGGCCCAGAGACCGAGAGATCATGTAGTAGGAGCCTCCAGCTGGAAACACATCAAACATCATGAACTGTGACACGGGACCACACGCCCTCGAGGGTTAAAAGGAACAACCATTGATACAGTTACAAAAAAACACCATAATCAACCATGCAGCTTTTCCTCAAGGACATTTGAGATGTCAAGCTGAGAATAATAAATGCAATACCTGGAACAACACCGTTTGTAGCAATGGCACTCATTGATATGGCTGTTAACATTGTCTGAAAAAACAAAAGGTCCACAATACAATTATTAGTTCAGATGTATAATGCAAGTAAATCTGGTGTATGAAACTCAATCAGTAAAGATAACACTGTTACAGTAATGACGTTCTCCTTTTCTTTTCCCAGGAACATTTAGTTCTGTTAAAGGTCATCTGCATCTGGGCGTTATGCAATACGGCCGAACCGATGGAGTGTCCTTGAGCCGAACGTCCACACTAAATCCCCGTGTCTCTCGCTCTGTACTCTGAAAAGCTACTGGACTAAAGCCAATTAACGTCCATGAACCTCCAGCGGGCTTAGCGTTCGAAATAAAGCGGTTTGGAGGAAGGAGATTGAGTGATCTTTACTAGCCAAATACAGACACAAAGAGCTGATATTTTTATCAACATACACTTAATGCTGTTTCTGATTATACAGTATGCATTTCAAAATATTGAATAAAATGCATTATAAAAGTTTGAATAATAAAAGTAAAAATAAAAAAATAAAAGTTTGTGTTTACATAATATATGTGGGTGCACTGTGTATAATTATTTTGTAGGCTATATATATAAAAACACACACATGCATGTATATTTAAGAAAATTAAAATAATATTATATTATTTATAAAATAAAATATTATTTATGAAAATATTTCTTAAATATATACAAGCATGTGTGTGTATTTATATATATAAAATAACACAAACTTTAATTTTGGATGCGATTAATCAGACAGCCCTAATTTAAAAATAAACTGTAAAATAAACACATTAATGTTTTGTTTGGTGAATTTTTTTTTTGAAATGTGCACAAAATTGCCAAGAAAAATCTGCCCTTATTGTTGCATATTGTAATCATTCGTCCATGTAATAACTTGCTCCACTTCTATAACAAAAAACTTTCTGGCTTTTTCGACATTTTTCATTTAGAAAAACTTTTCACCATCCATCCGATCAATTGCACTTGCACTTTCATCTCATAAATTTAGGAAGACATTAAGAAAAACGGTTTGTTGCTCTGGTTTGATATTGATTTAACATTTCTAAGAGAGGAAGTAAATATGTGATTCAATCCCACACGGAAACGCCTCACTATCTGCCATTTATGTCTAATAAACGTCATTTAAAGTGGCAGCGCTGAGATCTTGATGGTTCCTGTAAGAGCGCTATGATGAAAGAGCGAAACCTTTGAAACTTGACCGTGACACAATCACCGGAAACGTATAATGACACCAGTAAGTAAAGGTTGAGGTGACTTAGACACTTGATCCCATTGTCTGATGTGGTTTATAAATAAGCGTCAGTGTTAAAGACTTCTGAGCACAGGATATTACACACGTGTGAGTTCAGACGAAAGAGGAAGGAGGATCAACGGACTGAACTGACTATGTGACTCAAAGGGTTCTCTTATGACTTTGTCAAAGATATTATGATTGCACTGCTTTCTAAGACTAGCCTGGCCAGGACTCTCATACACATTTCATTTGTACACAGTCTGGCCTGTGTACTTACATTTACGAGTCATTAAATCATGTTTAATTTGGACTTCTCTGTGCATGCTCTTTGAGGTGGTGACCATAGACCTCCATTATATGACTGACAGACGAGAACGGTTTGACCTAAAAATATCAAAATTGAAAATACTGCGGAAACAAAGACACCTACATCTTGGATGCAGTTGAGGTAAGATAAAACATGTCAAAAATTCATTTCAATGTGAACTATCCCTTTAATGCTAATTTAATGTTTCCTCAGTCACCGTCTACAGTTCAAACGGTTGGACTTACACACGAGCAGCACATGGACACAATGATAAAGGACTCCAAGATTCCCGCCGTTCCCACGATCCATGTCATTCGCAGGAAGAGAATCACTCCCAGGATGTTCTGCAGGCAGGGCAGGTAGACGCCGATAAACGTGCCCATCTGTGGACTCTGGACAGGAAGACAACACGAAAGACAGCATGAGAAAATGTGCAATAAATGATTATGCATGCATGCAATCATTCAGAAAAAAAATATTGCTAGGACGAACAGTTCGAAAAATAAAAACCCAGAAACTAAATGAAAATGAGAAATGTTGCATTGGCAACTAGCTGAAATAAAGAAAGTATTATAAATAGAGATTGTATTTGTTATGATTTTAGTTTTAATGAATTAAATAACAATAATAAACCTACTGTATATACTGATGCATTTTAGACCCAGAAATCAAAATACTGATCTGAAGAACCTTTAATAAAAGTATATTTTTTAATCTCCAAATGACCATATTCAGCAAAAAAAATGGTTCTTGATAAAAAGATATTTCTCTGCTGAACCTAAAGTTTGACCAAAAGAGGAATTTATATTGTTCACATTTTGCATCACATTTAATTCTGCGACAAACTAAAACGAGACAAACATCACACACAATATGCAATGCAAACCAGATTTAGACCTCATCCATAAGTGCTGTACATCTTAATGCACATTTAATGTTTCACAGGAAGCTTTTAGCCGTAAAACAGGCATAATCCATGTTAAATGACCCAATGCTGAGATTCAGTGCTTCCTCCCAAACCAAGCTTATGATGTGCTTCAATCTGATACAAAAGAAATCATAACCGGCTTTTGCATGACCAAAAAAATATCAAATGCATACCGCAGTGATGAACGCTCTCGACACTGTTCCCGCTGGAATCGTCAAATACACGATAAGGATGAACTTTAGTTATTAACTATAGAATCAAATAAAAACCCAAGATGTTTCCTCCAAAATTTCGCTTCTTCACGAGAAGACTTGAGCATTTCCATCGAGCATCTGAAGCCAGTCGTCTCAGGACTAATAAGAGCCCGTTTCACCAATCACAGATGCCCAGAGACGAGGAGACTGGCTGGGGACTGTGGTTTTGTGGGTATTGCCTGGCCATTGCTTAAACATTTTTACTTACTCGCAGAAATAACCACGAGATCTCAATATGTAGATGCCCTCTGGGCTCGAAATGGGAAACAAAGAAAATAGTTGCATTTGTGCATGTGTTAATAAATCTATGCATAAGACTAACCATAGATGTCATCATATTTTGTTCCAAGTGAATAAAAATGAGACTGTTGAATGTTGAATATGGCGTCTATTCAAAATAATATGCCTTTCCTGACTGGTTATAAAAATATAAGTTTCAAAAGGTTTTTTTTGCTGTGATGCCACACTAAAAAACAGGGTAGGATTTACTTTAATAAAACTATTTTGACTCAGAAACTTGAAATTGAACAAATAATAAGATGGGATTACTTGGGAAATAATTACAAGGAATGACAAATTGAATTTAAAGGAGTAGTTCACTTTTTAAAAAAAACTTTTACTGATAATTTACTCACCCCCATGTCATCCAAGATGTCCATGTCTTTCTTTCTTCAGTCAAAAAGAAATTTAGGTTTTTGGATTTTCTCCATATAATGGACTTCAATGGGGTCCAAACGGTTCAAGGTCCAAATGAGAGCTTCATTGCAGCTTCAAAGGGCTTTAAACGACACAAGATGATGATTAAGGGTCTTATCTAGCGAAATGATCGGTCATTTAAAAAATAAATAAAAAAGTTTACGTTTTATAAGCACAAATGCTCGCCTTGCTCTGTTCTGTGATGAGCGTTCGTGACTCTCCCGTTCAAACTCGTTCATCAAAATGAACAAATCTTTTTTCGAGTCATGACTCGAAGGGTCCTAGATAAGACCCTTATTCATCGTCTGGTGTCGTTTAATGCCCTTTGAAGCTGCATTGAAACTCTCATGTGGACCTTGAGCCGTTTGGACCCCATTGAAGTCCATTATATGGAGAAAATCCTGGAATGTTTTCATCAAAAACCTTAATTTCTTTTCGACCGAAGAAAGAAAGACGTGGACATCTTGGATGATATGGGCACGAGTAAATTATCAGCAAAAGTGAACTACTCATTTAATGTGAAATTTTAAAGTAGAAAGACTTCTCGTTAAAAGAAAAAAAATATTTTTACAGTGGAGAAGAACCATTTTTGGTTCCACAAAGAACCTTTCAGTGAAAATTTCTTTCTCAGTGTGAAGAACATTTAAAAAATGGAAAGAACCTTTTGTGCAATAGGAAGATTGTGTGGATGTTAAAGGTTCTTCACGGAACCATCGATGCCAATAAAGAACCTTCATCACTCTTTATAAGAACAAAGGAACTATGAGAACGTCCAAGACATTCCAAACAATCTGACCTGTATTCATTTCCTGTCGTGTTTTCAACAAAGGCTGAAAGAATGTAGAGAATGTGTGTCTGATTTGTTTTGGATTACAGGACACAGACACAAAAGCTTTGCTGCTTTCATTCACGTCTGCAGATAAAAATCAATTTATATAAAGGAAATGGTCAAATACTTGTCTTTATGATGTTTAAGTATGTTACCTTGACTGTTTTCTTCTTGGCCCCTTCGTCCTCGTCGGCCTCCTCGTGCTCTCGGACGCCCTGCGTGAGGTTCGTGTAGTTGGCCAGTTTGCTGAGCAGCGACGACACCATGGGATTGCTGTCCATCTCCTCCTGAAAGGGTAAAGGTCACGTGTTTGATGGAAACCGCTGTATTGCAAACCGACTCGTTTCAAACCTCCACAACGGTAAAAATAAACGCAGAGACCAGAATCAAAGGCCGTAATAACAGCTTTGTCAGTCCGAAATCATAAAAGTATACAAAAATAAACATCATGACCCATGAATTGTGATCATAAACATGAAACGGGAATGTGGAAAACAGGCTTGATGGCAAATATAGGCTTGAGAATAAACACAAAGTTTGTTCTGACTGAAAAGAATAATATAAATGATCAAGAACAGATAGATTTGGAATTATTTTATTATTTACACAAAAAATCCACATCATTGTAGTATTTATTGTAATATTCAAATATTGAATTAGTAATTAGTATTTTACTTAGAAACTAATCAGAATCAGCTTTAAGAATAATGAAAAGGACAAAAGTCAAATGTCTAGTTTGATTACTGATGAAGATTTGAGGATAAATGTGCAAAATTGAGCCACATGAAACATAAATGAGTAAATAAATATAAAAAATAAAAATCACGGCCCTAAAATAACTATTAATCTTATTTTTTGTGTGTAGTGTTAATGAAAGAACAGAAAGAACCACTGAAGTTTGAAGACAGTACCTCAAAAAGTGCCATGTTTTTCCCATCATATAGAGTTCCCTTATAATCATCTGTGTTATGGATGAACGGGCTGCTTTCCCTTGGGTTTCCATCACCTGTATTAGAAAGACAGACAGATAGACATGATTACTAAACGCTGTTTGCTAACAGAACTGAGAGGTGTTTATGGCCTGTTATCTGTGGGTAGATGAGGAAAAACTCGACTTGACTTCCTATCCACTGCTGTGAGTCAGACATAATGATTCTGCTTTAAGTAGAGCATGATGGCGATCGATGTACGCTTCACCAGTCAAACTGATGTTCAGAGCAGAGCGTGACATATGGCGTCCCGTCATGAAGCGCTTAGAAAACCTGAAACGGATCGGCTAAAACATGAAATTACTTGGACGTCGCTCGCCACTGATCCGCCTGGGTTTGTGGTTATATATAGATGTTAAATTGCAGTGATTTTAAATAAACATCTGGACTGGGCTGGTTCAGATTACATCGTTTTATTCACATCCACAGACCTATCATTTCAGCGCAGATTTAGAGAGACTGTTCCAAGAGGCTCTTAGCTTAAACTAAACAATTTACACTCTGAAATCTCTAGTAAACTTTACTAATAATTACAAAGGCAAGCAACACATTGAATTATACATGATACAATTACACACGGTTCCGTCAGGTGCTTAATATATATAGAGCCTATTAGACTTTCCCATCATTGGATATTTTTATGGATTTTTCGATTTTAATCAAATTTATTAATTAAACAGCTCAGATAAACATGTAAACAACCCGTTAACATGAAAGTAACAGCCTATGCAATCATTTAAGGCATTCCGCCTTAAATAGAACCTTTCTGGCATAAAGAGAATAGAGAACTGTAGGGTTCTATATAGAACCTTTACTTCTAAAGTGAAACAGTATTTTCCTGTTTTTAAAACAACATAAAAAATGTTTTTGTTTTTTTTAATGTACAGCGCAGTGGCACACGACACTAAGTTAAATGTTTGAACTGTTTAACTTTGTAAACAACAAAGTCCAAGAGTATGTTTAATGGTAAACTAAAAAAAAAGCCTGCCAGAGACTGCAAACGTGACCAGCTTGACGATCAAAATCTGTATATGATTATGCAATAAAAACACAAAATGCTCTAATATGGATGTGGACTTTCTGATACAGCTTGAAACAATAGTGCATTTGGAAACTAGTCTGAAACTAGTCCAGATTGTTTGGACACACATTTACGCTATAATGTTTGTGTCTGAAGTACTCAAATTCACCTGAATACATGGATGCTTTCATTCAAAGCATCTTTAAGTGCATTCAAACTACACATTTGGCAGTTCTACAGAGAAAACATCCTGGCCAAGAGCTTCAGACTGACGGCAGAAGGTCTCGACTCTATCACAGCTTTCATTGGCCAAGCATCGCCCAAGAGGACGTTTGACTGACATGTAACACAACCAATCACAGTTCGTTTAGTTTCTCGTTATGTTTAAGGGTGCGAAAATGTAAAGTCAATGTCCTTGCGATAACAGGCAGATGCGCATCTAATAAATGATTAATTCAAGAACGTTTTGCAAGTTCTTCTTCCACGAGGGATTTGTTTCCAGTCGGACAGTCAAAAAACGTGACGCAAACGTCTCCAAGACATCCTTCAACCAATCAGATGACGACTTCAAAGTGTGTCTTATGCATCTGGCGTTCAGCCAACACTCCGTGGGGTTGAGATGTTTAACTGGTAACTAGCATATAGTATCAAAGCAACTGCAACTGTTTAAAAGATACAAGCCCTAAGACAACAAATACTCATGAGACACCTGATATCTCATATACCAGAATTCATCAGAAACCAGGATGTCTCATGAGCATTTCAGACCATATGCACATTTAGATTCAAATGGTTTCTTTTAAGTTATCTTTTTAAGGTAACACTATTTAGACACTCTACTAACTAACTTTGCAACTACATGTCAACTAACTCTCATTAGAGTATTAGTAGACTGTCTGCAAACACTTTATTTTGATGCTCCTCAACAGATTTCTACTGACTATATCTTTGCAACTATATGTCAACACTAATACGTAACCCAGACCTAGCTGTCTACTAATACTCTAATGACTACTAGTTGACATGTAGTAGTAAAACGAAATGAAGTGTAACCCTGTTTTAAATGAGAAACGTTGAGCAACTCTATTTGTGTTGCAGCCGCTGTTATCGTCAATAAATCAATGACAACTGCAGTTTGCAACCTATATTTTACTACCATTATCTGATATATTTCAGAACGACACCAGATATTTAACAATAAAAACTTGGACAGAACTTAGATTTTAAGTCTATGCATTAAGAAAATTGTTTGATTTTATGATTACTTTCTAAATATTAGCTAATAGTATTTGGTAAAAACTTTATTTTGGGCCTTTACCACTTTTATTGACAGAGACGTTTGTGTGTATAGTGGAGATCTACAGAGAATGTAATCAGGACAACAAAAGTTAGACTTGACCTTCAACCACATGAGCAAAACATTAAACATTTTGGCATTAAATGATTATTTTATTCTACTGTTCATGTTCACATGGCATCATTGACTGCAGACACTTGATACAGTATGACAAATCTCACGAGACGTGATCCACTTTCATCAGAATGGCCTAGATTACAGATATGCTTATATCACTGCAGACGTCACAGGCCTTCATTCAACTGGTGAAAAGTGGCACAGAGTCCATTCATCCAGGGATGGAAACACATGGGGAGTGAGTGAGTGAGTGGGCAAAATGGAGAGCAGGAAGAAAACAATTAATAAAGCTTAAACCCCGGCAGAATACGCAGCTATGATGGTGCCAGCCAAAATTACCAACAAGATCCTCAAGCTCATCCAATCAGCAGCGCCACACTGCATGTCCTTGACTTAAGATGATGCCCTTTCCAGGCGAGTTTACAAACACTCGAATTCATGTAGACATGGAAATCAAAGATCAAATCTAGCAATAATCTCTAAACCTTCGTAACGCCTGAGACTAAACTGGATGCTGGTGATCACAGCAATGATGACTGATCTTAATAAAAGTGACCTTTCTTTATTAAATGACAACATTGTGTTTGAGGAATCATTCATCTCTCTTGGTGAGGAGACTGTGCTGTTACTTTAAGTCATCAGACACAATTTTCACCTGCTGAACGATAAAACCCTGAGGGACCGGAGACAATGCTGAGAAAAAAACAACATTTAAACCGAGGGGGAAAACACTGGAGGAGACAAAAGACAAAAAAAAAAAAAAAAAAAAAAAAAAAAAAACAATAAAAATAAACTGACAAATTTGAGGGGAAAAAAAAAATCAAAAATAAAATATAAATATTTTAAAATAAAATGGAATGGAAAAATAATAAAACTGAATAAAACAAAATAAGATTCAAGAAAATAAATGAAACCAAATAAAATGAATAAAACAAGATAATAAAAACCTGAGGGGATCTGAGACCTTATTTACACATAATTGAGGGGAAATAATATTTAAACAGAAAATAATATGAACAATAATATAATATTTTTTATTAATAATAAAATAAAATAAAAATAGAATAAATAAATAAAAGCACAGAATAAAAGAGGATAATAGTATATAACCAACTAAAATTCACAAAATAAAAATAATTCATTAAATAAATAAAACTAAATAAATTATAAATTAAATAATAATAAAATAACCACCTATACTAACAGCACGTAATCACCCAATGCAGACCCTCGAGCGCTTGAGTTCACCAAACCCTCGACAACTGCTCGTGAGATGACACAGCGGAGGGGTTTATTATTGTATTTAACAAAAGAACAGACAACCACTCCACCTGAACGTCACCCCATCTTTATGGACCAGTGGACCTGAGAGATATCTCTCAATATAGAAACAAACCTTATATGAAAAGGACTTCCATTTACTTTACAGAAGCATAAAAGTTGGAGTTTGCAAGAAGAACAACTAAGAAATTTCTTTTACAACAGATGCACAAAGTTGTTGGAAGAAAGGCTGAAATGAACACGTCAGGTAGGACATTAACAGGTACTGTGAATCACAGTCTCTATGGTCATAAATGGCCACATACTCTATTTATATCAGCTAAGCTCTCTCTTGTTCTGATCTCTAAGCGGCCTACGGTCTATGTTTTACACCGGCTGATGGTGCAAGAGACGGAGGCAGAAAGAGTCACACAATCCCTTTATCCAACACGGATGTCAAGCAATTAGAAGGCCCGAAGTCTGGCGAAGAAAATAAGCCCATGTAGACGTCTATATAACAGATGATAGAGATGCAAACGCTCTCTGGTTACTGCAGATCGTCAACATTAAATGCCAAAATATCAAAGACAACACTGATCTCAGACTTGAAAGTCAAAGTTGAGAAGAGATGTTTGTTATTTACAACAGTAAAACACCAACCTATCTTCTATATGACAAGTTCGAAAAACCTATTCTGGTCATATTCATAACATTAATATCCAAAGTGTCTTGCCTAAGAAGATCCAGAAAGTCACTAAACTCACTTTGAGAGACGATTTAAAGTAGTGACAAGTTGCATCAAGCTAGTTTTAGAAGAGATGTTCTGGTAATATTCTGATTGATAGCATTAAAACACTAAAATATCTCTGATTATGAAGTTTATGAACCATAATTACACGTCTACTAAACTAAGAATTGACACTAGATTAATGCAGCTACCATAGTAGTCACACAAATGCAACTTGAAGTTGGTTTAGAAAAAGTTTGGCTGACAACAATAAAACAGCAAAATATCTCATTCTAGATGATCGACAAGTTTCAAAACAGCAATTTCATTTGCATTTCCATTGTAAATCAATGAAACTAGTCACAAATGTTTAACGTCATGCAGTTTATATTCTCGATGACAACATTAAAAAGTACAAATATCATGTTCTAGCTCCGTCACAGCAATTATAATGTGCTACTGTAAGACTAACTCAATGCATCTAATCACAAATGTCAATTAATATCAGTTTAGAAAAGATTATATTCTGTTTGATCACATTATAGCTAATTGTGAAGTTGCACAAATACATTTTCATGTCTAATAAAGCAACATG